CGCGACGCCATCATGAATTACGAGAAGGGCAGACTAGCAGAGAGGAAGAGTGTGTGGGAAAAATCGGGATGGCAAGAACAAGTGAGACGCAGAATGTAGCAATAACAAAACGCACAGTGTATAGGTATAGTTCAAGCACGAGAGAGACACAGGTTTATGTCGATTGTTCTAAAACTCTGATGAGCATAGAGTCCTATTTTTATTAGGCGTGGCTATTGGCAACACGAATTGCCATGTTGCCGGAAAGATATTAATCAATTCAGTTAGATATTCTTATTTGAGTAGATCCGGCCCCGGGAGTACTATCGTCCCTGTAGGATTTAGAAGTAGGGTATAGCGCTGGGAGGGAGGGAGGCAGAGGAGAGAGGAGTGGTGATCAATAGTTGAGTTAGTCGGTGTGTTTGTGTAGATTGATGTTGTTGTGTGTGTAGTGAGTATGTGATGAAGCGTATTGTTGACCGTGTAGGTCATCGTGTGGTTAGAAACTGTCTCTGCTTCGGTTGTGGTTTGAGGTCTAGTGTGGTGTGTGTTGTGTGTGCAGTGTGATCGCTGTATATATATACGTGTGAGAAACGTGCTGTGCTTGTGTTGTGTGGTTGAGTTTAGGCAAAACACAATATGTATATTTAGACATACTTATTGGACCTTGGAAACCGATGAAAGAGTATAGAGGGAGCAGGATAGTAGTAACTTATTGAGTCTTATCGAATCAACACTGCGAATACTACTTTGTCTAGAGTTCACCGAGATGACGGTTAAGTGTCTATATAAAGTAAACAATTTCTTTTGTCAATGTAAAAATGAGTTTTAATTAGTTTACCACAAATATCTGCAATATCTCATATGGTTTTTGATTACAAGTTGCTACGAGAATCTTGGGACACACATCTCGTATATCTCACCTTCTGGGTAAGGTGACCAAACCATGAAGAACACACGATATCGCTTACGTGCACCTATAGGTCAGATATAGCTAGAATGCCACTCCTAGATGACACATATAGAGACAGTTATTTAACACGCGCGACTATTATACATCGTGATGTTACTGGGGAACATGTTTCGCTAGACAGACACACCTCGGCGGAGTCAAAGCGCGAAGATTGGAGAGAAGGATGTAACGCGCAAAGACGAACCGTCATCGAGGACTCTCCCAACTCCACCGGTACCCGACGACGTACAAACGGTACAGACCCGCATAAAAGAAGCCCTAGGCTCCCGCCTAACGCCCACCCCTGACGAGGAAAAAGAAAGATCCCTAGGATATTCATTTATATGATAGGTCGACAGAAGAGCGAGGAGGTAACACAGCTCCAGAGATTAACACAGTCAGCGGACGACAGGACTTGCAGGTGTAAACACGTCTTCGTATTAACTGTACCAGACCGACTCTATCAACAACAAAGACACCACATGTGTGGACCACAACCGGCAGGCAACATCGATAACGCTCAGAAAAGATGCTACCTATCACGTCCAACCGGTTATCGAAATTAGTAATACAAAGTAATGAAACTGACTGTTTCATCATGAGCTAGTTTGAGACGAGACCCACCAAGCTAGACCTCCTAATTGCAGGAAGGTGACGCGAAGTAACGTCTACATCCCCAAAGAAACCCAAGAGACAGAAGAAGACTAAAGTATGTCATGGGTGAGTATAATGGAGACATATAACACTACGCAACGATAATCGGATACACTCTACCTTCAGCTGATCTTAGTACCAACAAAACTCAATATGTCTCAATTAAGGTCTTCCACCTTGCCCTCGATGTAAGTTATACTTCCTATCAGTCCTCTCATGTCCACTAAGACAAGGCCCCTCTCCCGACATGGAGGTGTATAGCTAGTCATGACAAGACCGACGACGACAAGGAAGAGAACTACTACCGTGACGCGTCTCGCCTTGTCTTTACGTCCAGTAGATAAGCCACACATAGTCCCACAGCGTCACTCGGAAAAGTAGTCCCAAGAGGGTAACACATGAATGAAATACTGATCAGGACAGGAACCAGATTATGATAGGCGATAGGAAGAGGTACGAACACAAACAGTATATAATGCGTGTATCCTAGCTCAGGTCGAAGGGCA